CATGTATTTGTTACATAAAAGTTTGTAGTAAGCGTAAATAGCATTAATTTTTTGTGTCCAGCAAAACAGAGTATCGAAGATGCATGTATGCATTTATGGGAATCAGAGAAAGAATTTTATAAATGTGACAAATAGATAATGATGAATTAAAAATGAAACGAAATGAAAACTAATAGGAATGAAATTAAGTATGGAGAGTTCCTATTACACACATACAGAAATGCAATGACTTATTTTTCATTTAAAAAGAAGTATCGTAATTTTTTTCTTATAACGAGTATAAATTGTCAAATAAATTTTTTCAAATGTACTTTACTGATTTTTAACAAATGTTTGTTTATAAATGTTGTGTTCGTTAACCATAATTTAGGCTATTAATTTATCAATGTGTAACCGTTTGCATATTAATTATCAATTTGTAATGTTAGGGTCATGGTTCGTACATCCACCACAGCAGGGCTTTCCGAGACTATTCCACTAGTACCTCTTATTCTGTTTAGTCTGTAATCTTGCAATTTACGATTAATACCGAATACCAAATACTGGACACCTTGTGTGTCACACGTAGCCGTAGCCACTGTATACCAATGGTGACACTGGTGACAAACTTTTCCTCGGGCGCATGCCAAAAATTCACGAATTCAAATTTATGGATTTGACGAACAGATTTGTAAATCATTTACTGGGGCATGTGTGCTCCTTTAGTTTTCAACTCTATCCTTTAACTTGGTCAGCCCTGATATGGTATAAGCCATAGCTCCATAAGATGCAGAATTTTGAAACGGATAAACAATAAATTAAAGTATACTCTTTTTATGTAATAAACTTTATAAAGCAGAACAGTATGATAATTGTTTTGTCAGTTGCTATTATAACAGTGGGATATATTCATCTTTACACTTATCCTCCGTGAATTAAAAAATTGTCTTTTATCTTTTAACACGTGCATATATATGCATTATTACTAATATATATGTGGCCGAAGAGAGGAAAAGATTATTCTGCTCTTCTTCTTTCAATATAATTTGATAAGTACTGATAAGTACGAACATACTACTGCTCGATTTTCCCTTTTTCGCAAGTAAGAATTAAAGTAATTAAACGAGGAGAATCGAACGCTTGACTGATAAAGATAAAAGATAATTCTGTTAGCTAAAGAAGACCAATGATCGCTTCTTTTTTCTTACTTCGACCGCATGATTGACAGCTTACTAATTATTTAAAAAGAAACTTGTTTCCTACTATTTTTAATCTACGGCTATACACA